ATAAAACATATAAATATATAAATTTTTCATATATAAATTCTCTACTAGGTGCATGTATCATACAACACGCATTCGTTCTGTGCAGATACTCCGTACCTGTAATTGTCCGATCAAGTCTGCCACTAGCAATAATTTACATTTGCTGTTCTGCTTCGACTTCGGGTCGAGTTTTAGAAACTCCTTCACGATGTTTTGTATTCTGGAGACAACCAGCCTGTGAGCGTCATCGGACGACAGTGGAGGCCAAGTGTGGGCCGTTACGTTTTGGTAATACTTCGAGAATCCCAGGAATTCTCGCAGGAATTTCTCTAGCCGACTATCCGTATTGGCCTTAATGCTGATGAGTTTCTGATCCTCAAGCAAGTCCTCGGTCTGATACTATGGTGGTGGGAGGGATAATATTTACAGCGATCATTGAACATATGCGAGAACCAGAGAACGCTCGACTGTTGTACGCGTGAAGCAACTTAGGACAAGAACTTGTAAGCTAGCACACAGTGGCCGTGTACACACACATCGGAACGTAGCTGCGTGATGTACAAGGTGGATTGACAACACTACAAGTGGCACGCACAACGAGAGAAGGCCTACCCAACGACCCGAGAAAGATCTTCGTTCACACGATGGCTGGAGATTAATACGCACTGCTCTGTTATGGACCACCCGCTGCTGGTAAAGACGCGCACCGCGACCAAAGAAGGCACTAGCATGGCACAAGACACACTCTCAGTTACCTTTTCCAGATTTTTCTTCTGAGCATTTTGCAAATCTAATAGCTGGTCGTCGATCTGCTCAACTGTTCGCTGCAGACTTTGCGTATCCATCATCTCAATTGGACGCTTGCCGCTGGCCTTCGACTGTCCAAGCATCAACGCTAGATCATCATTCTCGGAGGCACTATTCCATTACGACAGCAGGTTGTTGCCAGTGAGTGGTTCACAACGCATCAGCCACGGAATGGTTGCACCCATGAACACAGGCAATGTGGCGATGATACTGCCGTACTTGACTTCGAAGAGTACACGTAGGAAGATTTTCTCTACTATGAAATGCTATATACAGAAGCATCTTAGATTCACTCACTGCTCACCAGGCACCACTATCGTTCATAGATCATGCAACCACAAACAATGCACAGTGATACCATAAAGCCGGTACCGCTAAACCCCAGAGAGGTGCTTGTGTATGCTATTGCAAGCATGGTCAAAACATACGCCTACTATGGAAGGCACAAGGTCGTACACTTTGCAGCAACTGTTGACACTTAGAAAACCTTTTGAGTTCGTTTTCGGGATATTATACTAAAATAAGCAAATGTTTTCAGTTGCAACTGCCGCTAAGCCAAGCGTACGATACCACGTCATAAGACAGAGAGACACACCGCATGTGCATACACATGAGACGATTTATATGAGCTACAGCCTATCGCTATTACTACTCCACGCACAAGTATATATCAACATCTGCGTTCTATATACAGGAGGGCAGGCATTCTTCAAGCTCCGCGAGTGACATGGATAATATATTCTTTTGCAGGCCAAAAAAGAAGCACATACCTGAATTCACTTGTCACATTGCCATCCTCATCGACTTCATTCAGGTGATCGTTTATCAACTCGCGTAACGACGTATCTCGGGTCATCTTCACGGAGTGATTGCTTCAGTAGTGGAATTTGAAAGTAAAGTAGGCTAGAGATTAGGCCGAGTGCATCACCAACTTGTCCATAGCAAACCTTCAGAGATATTGCCATTTCATAATCTCATTTTTAAGCATATCCCGTAAGTGTCAACGATATGGCAACCTCAAATGAAAGTCTTCGCGATAAGAATCAGTAAAGGAGACCAAACGATAGATGATAATGCCAACACTGCGACAGTTATACCCAAAGTGCATGGATGTACTAGAAAGTCCTCCGGCGGAGATATTGGAGTCGACTGTGCTCAACGACTGCAGATCTACTTTCCGCCTGATTGAAGTAGGTAAATAGACGAGTTATAAATCGTATACTCATCACCCGAATTCTCTACAGGTAGCTGGTGGCCCGTGTCTCATGCAGCAGAGATCAAGATACGCGATCATCTTAAAAACACATCTAATAATAGATTCGCCAGCGCAGACCCCTGGAATACGCTCCATACCTTCTCACTACATCACTCTTATATCCACTTGCTGATGCATTATTATGCAAGGGGCTCGTAGGCGCAAGCGAATTTGATGGTTCGACCGATTGACAGCGTTTGTATTGCCCACGGGAGGACAGCACTCGCTGCGTGACTGCCACATCCTGATCGATGCTTTCTAGCGAGTCCTGATCAGCCAGAATTACGAATTAGAATAGGTAGAACGGAAAAAACGAGGTCAGCAGATCAAGTATATATCAGCAGGTGCTACCGTCCAATGTACGCGGCTGTCAATCGAAAGCTCCTGCCTAAACACGAATAAGCAACGGAAAGAACCCACATGAACTGACTGACACAGGTGATTATCGTTTGGCATTCAATCCCAGTCAAGGCACAACTTCACATACCGATGCCAGTTGCAAATTCTCCATTTGTTTCCAGTCAACATCCCCAACATATGTGCTGACAGCTTTTTCTTGCCTATTCGAATAGCTGCTTCTTTGATTTGGACTGTTACCACCTGATTCTGAGGTGATGGGCGCTCCACCGCCTGAAAAGTGCCAGAAAACGTATATATGAAGATGCAAGGTTCTTGAAGATACTTCTTAATAGATAGCAGATAGCAAATAAATTATACACACGGAATTGTTGCGTTCTTTTTTCTGTGAGTATGTGAAGCTGGGTTGACGCGATGGGCATTACTCTAGAGACACTCACAAGGCGATCAAGTCAAGCTGGAATCGTTGGCGATACGAAGAACTGATACTTGTATTTCAGAGGTATCAAAGTTTCAACGATCCATTTAAATATAAATTAAGAAGCAGATACTATACACGCATTCCCTACAATGAATTCTCACAGACTGGTAGTTTGAATTTATACCATCCACCTTGTGAATTGTAAGCCCAAGCCTGCACAAGCCAAATTCACGCAACATCCCGAAAAAACGGCCTCAACAGGACTGGCGACCAACTACAATGTCTCTCCTCTCTAGCTCACTGCAATGGCGACTGTGGATACGCACACGAGGGCACTTGCGCACTTCAGATAAAATTGATTGCTACGCAAGTCTAAGCGTACCGAAACGAGTTTCGCTGTCTAGACAGTATACGATGTGCTAGAACGTACCAAGCAGTGAATTTAAAGTTTCCGGTGTCGAGTTGCCTTGGTACACTGTCACCTGAGACATCAGTGGCGAGGGCACCTTCAGCGAACGGTAACCCGCCGCCACAGACGGGCGCTTAAGGATAGATGAACTGCTTCCGCTGCCAGGAGGTATGGACTCCTTCGTTTGGAGACGGTATTGGTTTAGCGCAGGGTCATGAATCATTGTGCTATCTGAAAGAAGTATTTGCGCACAAAATGAAGCCGAGTACTTCTATCCAAATTGAACATAGCATTCTTTCAGTTGCCAACATGCTGCTATTCCGCACTCTTCCGGCGTATATATAAATGAAGGTAACTATAAAACGTCCAAGTCACAACATATTAACGTAAATAGATGTACTCGAGCCAAAAAACCAGATTGCATATAAATATGTACACACGCGCACACACACACACACATACATATATATATATATATACTTATATACTATGTATATATATGCATATGAA